GGGTGCCACCTGCGGGCCAGTTCAGGCTTCCGCACTGGTGGCTACTGGGAAAGAAAGAGAGAGAGAGAGAGAGAGAAAGAGCACGAGAGAGCGTGCATGAGCGCCTGACACACTGGAATTAGCTCCAGCTGCCTGGCACCGGGCGACTGCTGGAGCTGAAGCCACTGCCTGCCCATGGGCCGGATCCATTTACTAGGGCTGTGCGAAACAGCACCATTTCGTTTCGACTTCCGTTTTGCCACTTTGACGTGACAGTGTTTCGCTTTGAGTTCTGTTTCGTTTAGTTTCAAAAGCGCTGTTCCATTTTGTTTCATCGAACCTGTTCCTCTGTTTCAACATTTTGCCCATAGGCTATAATGGGGAAGCACAAAACTGCCTATAACTTTGTCATTTTTTGGCAGACCTGGATGAAAACAGCAGGGATGGTAGCCCCTTCTGAGGACATGAAGCCCGCCAGGTTTCAAGGAGATGGTGCAGGAGTTTCTGGGAAACTGCACGTCAAGCTGCTGACAAGCAAAATTTGTGACGTGTGACCGTGTGCGTGTGTGTTAAGGTGCTGGGGCCTCTACATGACACAGCAGTGTGCCCCAAGAGGCTTCCTCTTCCCCTACAGCCTCAGTCCAGTCCACCACTTTAACTGACAACAGGTAATAACTTAGTAAGCAGTGCAGTAGCAGCAGCAGCATCTCAGGCAGCCAGACAGTCACAGTCAATATCAGAGGAGTCCTCCCCGCCTCTCTCTCCTTACTTTCTGCTTCCCTGCAGGCAAGCCCAGCTCAGCTTCGAAACTCAAAACGTTTCGACTGCCCTCATTTTGTTTCAAGGCTGTTACGAAGCCCTTTGTTTCGTTTTGATTTCGCTGTTTTGAGTTCGAAACGAGTCAAAACAGTGTCAAAACAAAACAGCTGGCAAAATTTATCACAGGCCTACCATTTACTTGACAAGCACCCGCCCATGAGCCAGATCCAATCAGTTGGCAGGACTTGTCCGGGCTACAGACTGGTTTTTTCCACCCCTGGTTTAAGGAGACTTTGGAAACTGGAAGCTACCAGTAGCTGACAGCTAGCAAAGGCTACGTCCACCATCTCCTTCTGCATATGGAATCCACGGGCCCACTTTCATTTATGGATTACTTAGGATCACTGTTAGTTTCATATCTTCTAAGAGTTATTTCCTTCATTAGGCAATTGAGAGAAACACTTACTTGTGGTCGGATAAGGCCAGGTGATACGGGACATATGTCAAGTCTTCAGACTTCCACTGCTGCATATTTAAGACAACAAAGGGAGGTGCCCCGTGGCAGAAGATTCTCTGGGTGAACTCTCTCAACCCACTGCATCTGCAAGCACAGCAAGAAAAAGCCAGACGATAGGATGGCAGACAGAGAGACACCGGATGCAGGTCTGACTGTAGTGTTACACCTTCTTTAGACATGTTTTGTCTTGCAATTGAGTCTTACTTGTATATAATGTTGGACTGGAAGGTTTAAAGGCTGTCACACTTGCCTTCCACCTACAGGTAATCACAGGCAGGCATGCTAGCCATGCTCAGGCTTGGCAGAATTCGATTTTTATTTTTTTAATAATTTTGATGTTTATTTTTAAGCATTTGCTTCGATTTTTATCAATTTAAGTTTTCAGGATTGTGTCATTTAACCGCCTGCCCTGACAAACGTAGCTACCATAGGGCTGAAGCCAGCTGGGCAACAGTGCCACCATCAGTCCTGGCTCCACAAACTGGTAGTTCCTTCATCCACTTTGTCACTTCCTCTTCCTTTGCTCCCAGTCCTCTGCGGTTTCTGGGACTTGTAGTCCAAACTACAGTCAGCACGGTTCCTTAGCGCTACTTCCCTGTCGTCACACACTCCATCAGCCATCATTTTTCTCACATCTCCTTTCTATAAACTTTGATTGTTGATGATGGAAATATTTTTCATCAGTCTACGAGTGTGAGGTGAAATCAATGTTCATCATTTACCAATAAAAATCTGGTAAAGCCGAGCCATGTTTCATACTGGCCGACTAGAAGCACCTATTCAGTGCTCTTATGGAGGAAAATGGGGTCAGAGACAGGCTGGAGAAGCAGGACTTGAGAGAGGAGAGGGCTCCCAAGGGCACAGAATGGGCTGGAAAGGCAGGTTTGGAAACCGGGAGCAAGAAAATGTCCTGATGGTTGTGCCTACCGTGTTGAGGAAAACAAGACTTGGCGAGCATGCCTGGTAAATGGAGGAGTGCAAAGGAAACACCTTCCTCAGAGCTTCAGCTTCTCCTGATAGAAACAGCCTGGCAGGGCCCCAAATACTGACTCTGTGCTCATCCTTCCTGCTTTATAGCACATTACCAAGGTCTCCACCTACTTCGCACCTTTCTGCTCCGACCAAGCAAGCCTCTGGTTGTGGGATTTGCCAAAGCATCTAGGGCAGCTAGACTCCACCTGTCACTGCAATAGCAGCCCCGCTCTCTACCTCGTTGCTCCCAAATGCATGACTGAGAGCACAGGCTGGGCTCCTCCCTACCCACACCCCATCCCACACGCAGCCCTCAGACTTTCTACCACTTCTCAGTCATCCCCCAGCTATCCACATTGCTCTTCCCAGTGCCCTAGATCAGTGCTTCTCACCACGGTGCTGCGCAATATTAGCACCGTTACACATGATTCACAGGATAAACCCAGAGATTTCAAACAGGAATCCATAAGGGCAGAAACCTGCTGATCTGCTGTGGGCTCTCCAAGTTCTCTGCCTCAAAAGAATTGCTCCAGTATTTTTCTGTAGTCAAGAAACAAGTGAAAAACTGGCATTTTCTGGAGGGAGGGCGGGATGCGGCTTGAGTTGCAAACCCCTACCCTAGTCTAGTCCCAACCCAAACTGATTCTCCTCCACAGATTCAATCGTTCAAGACTTCCCCCAAATGTTTTCCCTGGACTCGCCCTCACCGACTGACCGTGCTTTTCCCTCTGCAGTCATCTCCATGCACGTCTGGGGATGAGGGGAAGCGGCATGCAGCAATGTGCTTGGTAGGCAAAAACAACAGAGCAATAGGTGCAAGTTTCTCTCCTGGCTGCATGTCCACAGAAGGCAGTTCCTCTTCTGGCACCCACACGATTTCATGGAAAGACCCTTGCAGAGCGAAAGACTCACTAGCATCTTTGGGCTAAGCCCCAGCATAGAAAGCTTCAGCTTGGACAGGGTTTGCTTAACCAGGGAACAAATAAAAAAAGAAAAACAGACAACCCAATATATTAGCAGCCTTGTAGCAAAACACACTTCAATACACATTACTTACCCATACTGCTCACACAGCTCTATCTTGGAACAGAATAATTCATCTACTGCCAGCTGAATCAAGTCTCCATGTGGAATCTCTTGGGGAGGGCTGAAATAAGCAGGAGCATTCGATCAGACTGATTCCATAACTGCAAAATATCAAATCATTTAACCCCGGGTGCATATACCCGAGTCATTCCCAAACTCAGGACACTAAACTACACATTCCACAAAGAGAAAGATTCAGGGGAAAGATCACGAATTCCTGCCCAAGGACCTAGTGGCTTTAAATTTCACTGCTGTGGAAACAACTTCCTCGATTCCAGAACAACTTTGCTTCTCGCCCCCGCAAAACAGCTCATCTCTACAAGGTCACTGTATTAAAGACTCTGTTAGTGAAATTCAAGTCTTTCATTTACAGAGCCATAGCCAGCTATTCATGCAGGGGTGGGCAGTTATTTGGGGCCAAGGGCCACATAGGGAGTTTTGATGAGCTGTCACGGGTCGGGTCAGCACCGGCCTCCCCCCTCCGGCAACAACTCACCAAACTCCCTCTGGGCCTTTGGGCAGGCAGGGAGCTGTGTTCGAAAGTGGGGTGGGCAAGCAAGGCTAGGATCACGGGACCAGGGCCGAGCGGGGCAGGGTGTATGGAAGTGCATGTGGGGTGTGGGAGGAGCGTGTGCGCACTGGGGGTGCTGCTGTGGGCCGGATCCAGTGGTCCAGATCCAGCCCGTGGGCCGTATTTTGCCCACCCATCTTAACGGTTATCACCTTTTCACTTTTAAAATATATTTGTTCAGGAAGTTCATTATGCAATTAATAAAAGCAACAGGCTGTACTCCATTCTGTACCACGCCATCGGCACCCACGACATTTTCATAGCACACCCTTCCTCCCCCTGGTTTTTGAGTGGATCCTACGACACAAATAGTTTATTTTTTTTTACCTGAGGAACAATGTAAGCTACAGAGCTGAATATGGATGCGGGGCCAGTCTGGCAGATTATTTATTATAATTTTTTGCATCTAGACCAACAAGGGCTTGTTACTGCTTGAGCATTTTTACACACTATTATCAGATTATATTTGTGCGCTGAATCTAAAAAAAAATAAAAATAAAAAAGGGTGAGACAACTACCATAAATCCCATCAGAAAGGCCTTCTTGAGTAGCATGCATGCTTTGCCAAGGAAGCAATGTCTACCTGGACAGTAATAAGCTTGTAGGCTGCAGCATTTCCATTTGAAGAGTCCATCGTTTAAAAAAAAAAAAAAAAAAAAAAAAAGCTTTAAAATAGCATGCAGCTAAACTTTTTAAGTCAGAGGTAATACCCTTGCAGTACAGATGTTCCATAATATGGACATGGGCTTTAAATACTCCTGACTGGTCCAACACGGACAGACAAGTTTGTCTCCCGCATCTAAAACAACATACAGAACCTGTTATTTCCAAGTGTTTTTTATCTACCCTAAAAATAAGAGTGGGGGGGGGAAAGCAAGAAGAAGAAAACACAGCTTTAGCTGCTATTCTTATTGCTGTCTGCAACAGCTGTCACCATGCAAGAGCCAGAGATTTACCTGGCTATGATGAGCAACCTGCCCAAGGGAAAGCGGTCCAGGAAGCAGACTAAAGAGAACTCCAGCGTAGGTAGAAAGCAACACTGCAGTTTAGACACAGGGCAATTAGAGAGGGCAGAGGGGTTACAATGAGGCAGAAAAAGGAGTGGGAAGGGCCAGAGGGATAGAAGGCGCAACTTGGCCAAGTTTAGCTGCATGCTATCTTAAAGTTTTGGGGTTTTTTTTTTAAATGATGGACTGGTCAAGAGGGACCAGAAACACTCCAGATTTGGGCACAGGCACTTACAGTGCTCTGCAAATCTGGAGCGAGTCCACAAAGCCAATGCAAAAACCAGCAGCAGTTTGGTACTTGTTGTAGAAGCTCACGTGCCGCGCGGTGTGGCCAATATGCTGCAGTTGTGACATTATGCGAGTATCTAACACACGGGAGAGCCAAGCAAGTTAAAGACCTCCTGGCTGCAACAGACAGGGGTGGGGGAAGACTCGCTGACGGTGCTGCTATCCCTAAGGGAGCAAGCACACTCCCACAGTTCCTGCTGGACACAGTTGGGAGTCGGGTGGTGAAAGCACACTGCTACCTCTTTCACTGATCTATTGCATTAGCCACCCAGAGATGCAATTTTGCTTAATATATTGGATTAACAAATCGTTCCTGTGGTAGGACTGCCTTCTGGTGACTTCGCCAAAAGTTCACGTGTATCCCGCACCCCATCCAAATACACAGGGGTACAGTCACACCGTACGAGGACAAACTTCATGCTTTGCTATCGTGTGTCCTCAATTAACAAAGTGAAACCGGTCAGAAACCTAGCTGGTGCAGGCTTCAATAACCAGCTCGCTGTTATGGGAGTTCCTGGGCCGCACAGTACCTCCAGCATGTGGAAGTGTTAGTTTTGGCACCTAAATGGTGGGCAACTTGTAACTGGCCCTCTCCCCCCACATCTTCTGGCCGGTTATATGTTATATGACATGTTATAATCCATATTATATAGATAAGTTTATAATCCAAGGTGCCAGAGTCCCTTAATTTCAGGACAAGGCGGCTACCAAGGGACTTTCTGTAATTATCCCCTGGCTTTGACACTGCCACCCTTTTTGCCCAGAAAAGCAACCTTTTGCAGTACGGTTAGAGGTCTGCAAAAAGGTGAATTCCAGCCAGCCTACTGGGAAAAACAGGCATTAGGTTTGACAACAAAGCAAGGCACACGAGTAGAGGGGCTACTGCACTTTTTTTGTGGAGCAGGCACTTCTAAATCCTTTTTAAAAACCACCCAGAACAGTTTTCATCTCTCATGCCCCAAGCTAAGGCAAAACAGAGCCCAGTCAAAGCCAAGCACTCTCAAAGAATCGGTGCAGCATCCAGAGCAGCGTGATCTCTACCACTCTGGTCCAGACCAGGATTAGAGACGCCCTCTTCCTTCTCTCTGATCGGACTGCCAAGCCAAACTTAACGCAGGTCCTCTTCTCTAAGGCATCTCCAGCAACTTCTCTGGAGACGTGACTCAGCACAGAGCACTCACCACTCGCAGCAACGTAGTCACAGATGTATTCACACAAGCTCTACCCTTACAGGCACTTTGGCAGATAAAACAGATTGTTTCACGTTGAATCACAGCTCCCTTGAAAAGAGAAACGTGTATTGATCTCGGGCCCCTGCTCCACATTAGATGTATTGTGCAACTGACTAATTGCACAACTAATCGAGAGCAGCAACACGTGCAAAGTAATTATCACATGATCAGAATGCCTCTCCAGCTTATAAAAAGAGCCTGTCAGCTATCAAGTTAGTGCCTGAAAATGTGCAACAACTCTACAGCTGGTTTCTATCCAGCTTTCCTTTGAATGTGCAGCAGGGCCTAGAGTTACAGCTCAGCTCCTGCAGCAACTTACTTGATGTTAATCGTTTTCTGCTGATCTTCCTGCGTGCGTGTAGGACACCTCCAGTTGGAGCAGTAGCTCTCCTGAATGGTGGACATGAGCGTTTCCAGGTTTTTCGTGAAGTTGTCGTGCTCGTTGCCAAACAAGTCGATCTCCAGCGAGGCCTTGTGAACTTCAGATTTGTACTGTTGTTTCTCCATCTTGTCCCAAATCCAAAGCAGCTTTACAGTTGTAAAATTGTAGGAGTCCATTAAGTAAAGAAAACAGTCTACAAACTCTCTGCCCAAATGAAGGGAGAGCTCCCTGGGGAAGTGCTCATTTTCGTGCAGGATGACGTACAACAGCATCAAGAATCCGTCAATAGTGCATGTGTTTTTCAGATGTATCTCGACATAAAGTGGCATGCAAGATACCGCTTTGCGGCCAGCTTTGATGGTAAACACCCCTCCCCAGGGGAGCACGGGCCTCCAGAACGAGCGGTCCTGGTCGTTATTATTCTTAATGGATGCTTTGATCTCCTCAAACAATGTCTTCATCCTGCAAGGGAGAGAAGCACAAGCATGCTGTTTTAAACTGGTGGTTGCAACAATCAACTTTGCTGAAGACTCAGCCTTGGGAGGCCCCAGGTGCCTCTTAAAGAGGACGTCCAGGTACTTCCAGGATTTAGGAAATATTCCCAGCCCCTCCACTTCTGGCTTTCACATCTCCGGTGCCACTACTATCAACGCCGCCCAGAAAGAAACCACCAGTATCCATGGCTCCAACCCCAGCCTCTCTCAAAACGTGGTAGATCTGATCCAACGCACCAAACAGCCTCGCAGTAATGCAGGGGGTGAAACTAAACAGCAACAGTGCATGTGAATGAAAAAAAAATAAAATAAAAAAAAAAAAAAATATATATATATATATATAGGACGGAGACATACGCTCCCCATTAGGAGCACGTTGCTCACAGAACCACCCGCTCGCCGACTTCACTTCACGCATGCTCAAGGGACATTTACCTAACACCTTTAAAAGGCAAACTCGGGGAGCGCTTTCCCTGCGGCAGGGCAGGGCAGGGCAGGGGGCGAGGGCTGCGTGGCGTGGGGGCTGACAGTAGTCTCATGTCGAGTTCAGATGGTGGATGGTACAGGATGGTTTGCACAGGCCTGATCCTGCCTCGGGCCAGGGCCGGACTAGATGTGACCTCCGAGGGTCCCCGCCAGCCCCGCTTCTCCAGGAGTCTGTGAAAAATTCCTGTGAACTGCTGTCTGTGGGGTCAGATGGCACATCACCTCGCCAGCACCCCGTGTCCCACAGTGGGGGCTATAAACCTGGCCAGCAAGGAGGCTCTGGCCGGGAGGGTCCCCGGGGCTGCTTTTCCTTGCCCTACTTTGTTCCCGTCTCCAAGCAGAGTATCACTGGGCAGCGTCCACTGGCTCCTCAGACTCGTTTGAGGGCCAGCGGGTGCCGTCCGGTGACCTCTGATCACCTTTAGTACCGTGAACGCCACATGCCCCTGGAGGCTGGGGGGACACGGCGAGCTCCCGCAGGCGGCTGTGATGCTTTTGGCAATGGAGGGGGGTGGCGAGCGCCAAGCAGTGTCAGCGACCACCTGCAGACGCTGCTGAGAGTTATGGCGGTGTCAGCAGCGATCAGGGACCACCCGCAGGCGCTGCTGACACTTTTTGCAGGGGGTGCACCGCCAAGTTCAGGGGGTGCACTGCCAATCTCATGGGCGAGGCACTATTAAGCTCACGGGGGTGCATCGCCAATCTCACACGGGTGCACCGCCAAGCTCAGGGGGTGCACTGCCAAGCTCAGGGGCAGGGCACTACCAAGCTCAGGGGGGTACACCGCCAATCTCATGGGTGAGGCACCACTAAACTCACCGGGGTGCACC